GAAATTTAGAAAATTTCTTTAAACTTTTATGGCGAAAATATTTTTTTCGAATCCTGTAAATTTTGGTATACTATACTTGTGTGTCAGTCATAAATCGTTTCGGTATCTGCAGTTCACTATTTCCTTTGAGGCTCGATGAATCATCGAGATTATCTACACCGTCTTACAATTTTATTTTCAATGAAGTTTCTATGCTACGACAATTTTAATATTAATACAGATTGCAAATTTCATTCAAAAAAATCGTACTCGCGAAAAATTTGCGAAATTCCGGTAAATCTGAAACACGGTTAACGCTCGAATTAATCGACTAATTAATTCAAGCAATAAACAAGCGCACGATTTATCTGTGCGGTGCATCGAGGATCGTAATGTTTGCTGTGCGCGTTTCGAATCGCCAATGAAAAACATTTTCTATTCAGGCGAACTGTGTTAAACTATCGCTGAATTTTTATAAACGAACGTGCAGATTCTTGCCCGTTAACTTATTTTTATCCTCACGTGTGAAAAATTCCAGTCAATAAATTCCAGTTTTACAAACGTTTTATCGCGCCCATAGTTCAATGACCAAATAAAACCGACGCTTTCGTAGATCTAGAACGTCTGATAAATTGCAAGTTCTTCGCGTTGAAAAAAGTCACAGAAAAACTACTGATAAACGCTAATATATACATATAATACGTGTCCTGTTTTCGAAAAGTACTTCGAACAAAAACACAAAAAAGTGTATCCATATTTTTAAACGATACAATTGAATTACTTTCAACAGATTATTTCAGCAACAAATGTAAAAAAATATACGTATTATCTTGGTCGTTTTTATCTTACGGCTACTTTCATAACTGACTCTTTAATTCTATTAAATTTTTACCCTCTAAGAGATTAACACGGTCAATTTCTCACCCGTACAATAACCATAGTCCAAAAACCTAACATTTACAATAGCTTAGTCGCTATTTTCACACAATTCATCGTTACAAAACTGCATCTAACACTAAACGTCAAATTCCCCCATGCAACACTTCGCCAAATGTCAACGAACAATACCTTCTTTTCGACAGTAAAATCTCTACGTGCATCATGTCTAAACAAACTACAGATACGGTGTGTATATACACACACGCACATACACACATCCTCACGCGCGCTAACACAAACCACATATACCGACGAGCCTTTCATCGGGTTATTCCCTGATTAAACAGAGAAAGAATTGTTTCTTTCGTGCATGAAGTTTTCAACAGGTAACAATGACAACGTCGTGCAGCAACGTGGTAGAAAAATGAAAACGGCCTACGTATACCGCGAGAAACGTCTTACCTAACTCAGCATATCTCCCTCGAGAGAATGTCTCGTTGCACGATCTGGCAGACGTCTCGATAAATCCGCTAGGTAGATCGATCGACACGTGAAAACCGATCGATTCGATGACGAATCCAGGACACACTCGACACACCGACTGCCGAACACGAGATGAGGAATGAAACGGGAGGCAACGCTGTGGACGCCTGGTAACGCGTCTCTCTCGCGCTGTTTCTCTGTTAAGGAAAACCTCCGACAGAGACCAGTGCCGTACGTAGAATGAGGTTCCTTTCTTGCGAGGCTGGGACGAGGGTGCTGACACTGGCCGAGGGGCAAAGCGAGGTTCTTAAGGACGCCAGAGTGGGGGAATAGATGCGGGGGCGGCAGGCATGCAAAGGTTTCGAGGACTAACCGTTTGTGATTTTATTAGCGAAGGCTCGTTTCGTCCGTTTTCGTTCGTTCGATGAACTAACGGGAGAAGTTTCAACGAGATTGATGAATGAAACCGATCGAGTTTTGCCTGTGAATATTAGTATTTTGGTTTTTCGAGTATGTACTGAAATTTTGAATGATGGATATTTTGAAAATTTGCTACGCATTTGTTGTTACTTCGAGAGGTTTGGAAAGGAGATATATTAAATGTAGAGTAATTATTTTGTACTGGATATTAAAAGATTTCTGGAGTATTTTAATTTTGAACTCTGTATCGCTGATGTAGAGTATATATTTGTATTATAATCTTTGAAATACTTCATTTATTTCAGGTTATTACTTTAACGTGTTTAAAGTGCTCCGCGTTGCTTGCAAATTCTTTGTACGTAATAACATCGATTTTTGGAAGGCTTAATGAAGGCATGAATGTGTAGTATTATATAGGATACAATGAACCATTGTCTGCAAATTTAATACTTCGCATAATCTATTCCTTGTCACTCAGGCAGCGCATAAACTTTTTTTATTTTTGCAATATTAAATATTTAGTTTGACTATTAATAAGTTCGAGAATGTTACTGTTGTTTCAAAAATCAAGCGCCAAATTAAATGTTCATCGTTTTCTTTTTTTAATGGTTTAGTAATATTTTTTAGTAGAATAAAAATTATAGTGTGACAGTAATAATATAGTGATTGTATTAATTTTATAATAATATACATTGTTCGTGTTATGGAATATGTTTTGTATAAAGGATATTTTCTGTGACATTCACGAGCCAGCCGGCGTACCG